GTAGTGTAAACCCTAAGGTTGCGTCGATTGGCATCAGAACGCCATAAAACTTCACACAACGTTTCTACCGCCATTTGCAATTTGCGGCATGCATAAATTAAACATTTGTTCATTGTTTCAAACTTGTCGTTTATCGGATGAAAGTTGACGTTACTATGGGCAAACTTAGTTGTTGCTAAGTTAAAACTTTTTTCAACAATCAAAATTCGAGGTTGTTTACAATGTTGTTGGAATAACATTCTAAACAACCTCGAATTTTGCAAGCAAATATCAGTTTTCCATTTTGACCAACTTTGACCAATGTTTGAATTATTGGGGGGGGGTTACACCCCACACCCCTCTATAGCGACGTCCCTGGCTATGTGGCATCAACAAATAGACTGATAATATTGTCTGTTAGTGTTACTAAATACAAGATGAAGTAGATACAAAATATCCACAAAATATCCCAAATAATAAATAAATACAGTTAAATAATTGCGTCAGTAAATTCTCTAAATTGTTCCTGTATTTAACTATTATCGATAAAATGTTAAAACGGAGCTTTGATTGACTGATTCACCATTTATACTAGAAGTTACTATCGCAAGGAAAGTGCTGCCTCACCCCCAAGGGGTCAAAGGCAGCATGCACAATTTGCCTGAATAAGGGGCTGTTTATATGATCCCGCTTTGCCATTACTCTCATGTTTTAATATCATTATCAAACTAAAACCACCCCCAAATACATAAATAATACATAAAGGAAACTAAGTAAGTTATACTTTATAATTTAGAGTAAATTTGTAATGCAAAATACAATGAACTTAAAAAATCAATAATTACCCCACAGAGCCTGGCCACATGTGCTTTTATATTAATACCTCCAATGTCTCCAATGCTTATAACTTCTTGCTTTTGAAGCTAGCCATAGCTAGCTAACAAGTCATGCTATGTGAGTTTTCAATGATTTGTATCATTCGAATAGATGCAAGATTATCAGCATAGGCATAGCAGAGAGGGCATAACAGAGTAAATCCATTTACCGAGTCAAATCTGAGTCCGAGTCAAACGCCCGAGTCGCGTAAAAAAAAGACGAAAGTGAAGAAAATTCACAGTCGAATAAGGTTAGGAGTAGGTTTAGGGTACTAAGCCAGTTTACCGACAAAGACAGTTAAACAGTGACTCGGACATTTGACTCGAACTCGGATTTGAGTTGGCCAGTAACCGACAAACTCCGAAATTGAATAAAATTCACAGTTGAATAGGGTCAGGGTACGTTAGGAGTGGGATTATTGTTAGAATTAGGGTACTAAGTCATTGAACTGCAAAGACCATCGATTAAACAATGACTCGGAAATTTGACTCGGGCTCGGATTTGACTCGGTTAACCGACAAACGCGGGCATAGTATGACGAGTTGCTATGACTAGCTTGCCACTGAATACTGTACAATATTATAAATTTATATAGAGAATAATACATGGGTGCACGGAACACAAGAAATAAATCTGGAATTTCCAAGCATTCATGTATTTTTCTGTTTACTATATAAAGGACAGTCTTTGAAAAGCGATATAATTTTTTGCAGAAAAGCGATAATTTTCTCATATGAGATTATCATAAATTATCTCGCATGTGAGATTATCAGTTTTATCAGTGGTCGAAATCTCTATAAAGCACTATACTTTGTATAATAAATATACATCAACAATAATAATACTTGAATGAACCATTGGACATGTAAAATTTAATAACAATTTCATGTATAGAAATACTATAATACAAAACTGCACCTATCACAGAACAACTGTCATTTTTGTTTAATTTAATACATCAGCTTCAGATGGCACCATTCATTTGTAATGATTAAGATTATACTGAGTCAGAACTTCAAAACTATATAATAATAAAGAAATTGTGAGCATTATCGCAAAAATATAGTATACCCTGAAATGTAGTGACACAGCCAGGTGAATATATGAATGTATTATGTAGCGGGCCAGTAAGATTACTCCTTAATACACCAGTTAAAGTAAACACTGACACCCCCACCCCCACCTCAGGATATAGGTGGGGATTGGCTTTGAATACCGTACCAAAACAGACAAATGCCCCACAATATGGGACAAAATTTTCTAGCTAAAGACAAAAAATTCCCCACCCCGGGGGGAAATTGTAAGTCGTGAGAGCGAATTTATCTCCTGCATAATATCTCCTCGACAATCTCCAGGCCGCCGCATCTTTCCACGACAATATATTACATGGATGGATGGACATATTAACCGATATTAACATATAGATTGAAAATATATTAAATTAATAATATATTTATAAAATTCCTCTCGATTTCACTTCCTTACGAGCACGCGATCTTGACCTTTGTCACATGGTATAAAATAATAGAACCAGGGGATTCCATTGGACAAAACGGTACAAAATAGTACAAAATGGCCGCAGACAATCCCCTAACAATCCCATTATCTTCCCGGCGTAATTCGGCAGAATGACAAAACCAACAAATTTCCGACATGGTTGAGACAGAATTCGATGACAAAAAGCCACTAAATCCCCACCAAGTGCCCTCTTTGTCCGGGGGGGGGGTCGGAGTTTACTTTGACTGGTGCATTATTATGCTGACAATGGATATATTTCAGAGATATATTTTTACACACCGTCATACCTTGTACAAAAGTCGGTTGACATGCTATTACTTGTAACTGCTGGTAAGGTAATATGTGCAGACAACCATGGGCAGATTTACTGGGGGTTAGTACTGAGTATAACACCCTGAGGTGTTATAAAGTGTTCAACCCCACCAAAATTTCACTTCACTCCTCCTACTTTGTGTGAAAGCCTTTAACGCTAACCTCTGCCAAAGCTCAGTGGTGCTGCTTGCACCCCACTAGAAAATGCTTGGCCACCCCTCCTTTTATAAAATGAACATCCGCCCTTGCAGACAACAATCCACACTGGATTGTTATGGGGATATCTTTATATTAAATAAGCCCTGACACACAACATTCCACGTTTGTTTTTAAAACGTGCTGAAATGGCTGAAGCACATTTGCTATAAACATGTAGAATAAACACTAAACTCATCGCCTTTGGAAATCACCACACAAACAAATGAGCTAAAAGAACATTTTGACTACTTGTATATTAACTATAAAGACGATCACTAAGTGCAGGTTAAATTCTGAAATGCATGATAAATTCATGCTGAATCTAAATTCATGAAATCATTAATCATAGTGTTCTAAGCATAAATGCCTTCATGTATATTACCAAAAAGAAATAAAGCTACTCTTACCTGAATTATTGAAAATATTGTCCATGTTTTGCATCATGAAAATATAGCTCATAACTGTCCTAGAGAAGAACTTGATCCGTGTGCAATACAAAGTAAATTTTGACCACCCCCCTCGTTTAAAAAAACTCCCTGAAGCTAAGCCTTATTTATTTCCCCGGAATTACGACGAGAGGCACCGGAATATCGATAATTGGGGGGGGGGGGCAGATATTCATATATTCGTGTTCTGCCCAATTAATTTCTTTTGAAATCGATTGTATTTATGAATATGAATATCTGCCCCCGCTATTATCGATTCCACGGCGCCTCTGATTATGACATCTTTACATACAGACAGACACAAAGTCGAGATCTCGACAATACATAGCTCGGGCAAAGAGACTGGACACAAGTAAAGCGATACTTCATGTTAAGAATAGTGTGCTGTCTTCGGCAGCAACTAGTGAGCTATTAAACTATCGTGATTTACACGATTTTTGCATATTTACCAGACGATGCCCTATGCACCGACCCGTTTTTCTCCACTTGTGGATGCAAAAATTCGCTGTAAAGACTTTAAAAGGAAGAATATTTCTTCTGAAAGGTTAGATTTGTGAAAATTTTAAGTTTTTACCTTTTATTCGACTAATTTTCGATTGGCAAAGTCAGGGGCCGATATGCGTATAAAATCGAGGTATAAATATGTATTTGTCAAACACTTATATTTTATATTTACACCAATATTTCTGGAGCAGACATAAAAAACGTTGTAGATGGTTATTTATACATTGTGTACATACATTTTCTTTCTAGTTTCAGGCACTGGCTTTCGTTTTTAGTGCCAGTTTATTAGTTTAAACAGCATGCTGCTCATGCAATCTGTAGTTTGCTTTGTTTCATAAAGAGCAGTTAGCACTAGATTTATATACAGTATAAACAAGCTGTATTGTATCCTTCACAAATATTATAAACTGCTAGTTTTGCTACTTGCTAGGTTTTGTATCAGCATTTACCAATTGCCAATTGGCTGTGTAATTTAGGCTTTTTTGTGGGGTTGTGCACTACATTTCAGTTCAGCATCGAGCTATCATCGACTTGTGCATACCCAAATTTGCATGATTTATACTTATATCATTCTTGCATTGGCATTACCTTGAATGCTAGTATGGGTCAACCTGACAACCTCTATGCCTCATAAAAATCTCCAAACAAAAATCCTCCTTCACTCAGAAAATATACCTCTGTCATGGGAGTCTTGATTTATGTTTAGCCATATTTATTTAGTCCCTTAGAGGTTGACCCATTGAGTCACATTGCACCCTACTTTATTATTTTACTCTGCCTGATACCAGATGATTTTACTCATCAAGTAGAGAGTGCTGGTGCTTAATAGGTTAATAACTAGCCTATGTGTCTAGTTATGAGTCGCATTGCACCGATGCGCCCTTTACTCTGTCTAACGCCAGATTATTTTACTCTGTCTAACACCAGATAATTTTACTCATCAATTGGGGAGAGCGATGACGCTTAATTCAGATTTATATAAGATTAGTGGTGCACCAGAGCTAACAGTTCCAATCCAGCCACAGCTTTAACTTGCAAAGTAGGGGTGGTGGTCTGTGCTAACTGGCCAGAACCTACAGTATGCACCCATTGCAATTAATTTTGAAATGTACACGAAACAGTTTCACACCATAGAATAAAACAATGATAAACAAAGTAACTTTATTTCTCATTTCTATTACAGGCATCAAAGTGATATGTAATTATACAAGAACTGAAGCAAAAATGTTCTTGCTATAACAGATGTATTGTATCATGATAGTTAACATTGATGTATATGATCTTATTTGGGTGTAACAATGTGTAGTAATACAGTATCTGTAGTAGTAATCTGTTATCGCTACCAAAAGAAAATTGAAAAGAGATAAACATGCCAAACAGCCAAAGTGGTGTCACAGCTCATGGGACTACAAAGTGATAATTATACTAGAATAACTTGATTATACAGTTAGTTCAAACTGATTGGGTCATTCAAAAAAATATCCACACCCCTAATGGAAGAGATGGGAGGTTCAGCTTCCTCCCACTTTTGGACACCCTTAGCTAATACTTTTACTATTATCAGCAGTTGAGTTCTGCCCACTTCAGACAGCACTTCACACATCTGTGGAGTTAGTGTTTATCTTTTCTGGAATGACTCATTGCTGATTGGTAGTTAATAATTATTCATTGAAGAATTTAAATTAAAATAATACAATTTCAACTGCATCATTGTGGTGGTAAATAATTCTGTAATAAACAAGAATAGATTATATAGGTTACTCTAAAAGAGAAAAAGCATGAAAAATCATATCAAGGGAAAATGAAGGAATACAAAAGAAATATACTAGGGGCCATTCACAAAGGATGTCCGAGCCGAGGGGGGGGGGAGGGGGGTTTGGAAAATCAGGACAAACTCGGACATAGGGGGGGGGGGGG